CCAGGCTTGCCAACTAACCTGCATTACCCTGGACTGTCCTGGAATTGACACGTCGGGAAATTTAAGATCCTTCCTAATCACATACACTGCTCTGAAACGAGTCCCATTGATGTAATATCTTATTTCACTACTCAGAATTACAAAGTTCTGACATTTTTTATTGTTTTAAGTTACTAAGACCGTGAAATGAGATACCATTTAATATTCTATCTGCTCTATCAAAATCATAAGATTATTCGGAGTTGTTGTCAAGATGTTCATTCTAGGAATTGCATTCAAAGAAGCTTGACATGTTGTGAAACTCAAAACTTTTTACTTCAAATTTCTCCACAACTAGATACTGAGCAGATAGAACTTTGTAATTCTGAGGAAGCAATGTTTTGTGATGCAGTCTGTGACGTAGTCTGATATTTGTGAGGCATCGTGGTGAAATCTGGCGCTCGTCAAAATAAGGAAATCGGAAAAACGGGCATTTTTCCGCCAGTTAGGCAATATCGAATTTTTGTTTTTTGGCTCAAACCCTTTTATGTCCATACAAAACCATAATTTTTTATTTCCATGGGAATTTTACTAAAAAACGTTGATTATTAAGGCACAAAATATATCATTTTTCTGTTTTCAAGGACTCTTTAGTCATTAGAGTTACCCAACTTTGGCGGCCATTTTCTCGCTAATTTCACCTCTAATACCAGGCAACCTCACCTCCGTCAATCGCAAATATCTTGACTTCTATTCCTGATAGATGCATATTTTTTTCATTGAAAGCAAAAGAAATGAAAAAGCTTTCAGATGATATCAATAACTCCACGTGCCCAAAGATTGACACGCGCCTAATTCCACCACATCATGACACATTTTATTGTTGGGTGTGGTCTTGAGAAAGTTGGCAAGCCTGCACTCCTGTATCAAATGACGTCTCTCTCAGATAGTAGATATAGTTTCCTTTACCTATTTCTTCTTTTCTCTGATGTCAATAACGATTTCTCTCCAACTTACTTAACTTTCACGCTTAGAAGCAATTTAGAATTGTGAGTTAGAGAGTTTCTTTGTGAAAATAGTAACTGTTGCTGTTGTTTTTTTGTTTCAATTTTATTCTGTGTTTTAACTCTTTACTAATTTATTTAATGCTACAGTCGAACCAGCTCTGACAGCCACCTTTCCAAGACAACCATCTGTACAAACGATCAC